GGAGCTCCATCCAACAATCAACCAATAACAACCCGCCTCCTCCCGTGTTTCAGCTCGTGGCAGGAGCTTCATCCTCCTCTTGTTTGTGTCGACGCTGCTGTCCGGTCCAATAAAGAACACGCTGGAAAACACGGAGCGAGCTGCCTCCAGCCTGCTCTGTGGAGCAGAGCTGGCAGCCAATCAAACACAGGAGCTGATGCAGAGGGCAGCCACACCCCTCTTCTGTAAGCCACACCCACACGCTAATCAATAACTGATAGGAACACTGATAAAACCTTTGACTCATTTTGCATTTAATTTGAACCTCCTTTAAAAGTTTTTATCAGGTTAGGAATGACATGCTATAAAATAAAACTCTGCATGTTTTGTGTAATTGTTAAAACAGATAAATGTGTTATTTTACAGCCGTGTTGGACAAAGTCAGAGAGATCAGCAGAAATGCTTACGCCGTCGCAGGAAGAGTCCAAAACTTCATCAACGCCCTGACAGACAGCGTCCGCCATGTTGGTGAGTTACTCCTCGTCTGTCCATCCAGGGTTCCTTTGTACGTTTTGGCTCGGGCTGAAAGCTCTCTGGTCACCTGTTCATTTGCCTTTGACCTCTGACCCTTGCAGCTCGCACTCTCAGGAATGTCCTCCACTTCCTCGTGGACATCGGAGACATTTGCAACGACAAACTCAGAGCTCCGTACAGGAAGTGCCGGGACGTCTTTGCTGAGGCTCGGACCGACTGCAACAACCTCCTGGGAGAATTCAACTTCCTGTGTGACATCGTGGACGGCTTTCTGCCGCTCTGCAACATCGCTCGTGGTGCGTTCACTGACATCACCTTTAACCCTCAGAAGGAAGCTGAAGTAAATGTCTTCGTTAATTGATTTTATTTATTGTGAGAGAATATTCCTCTTTAATCAGACGGTGTTCTCTAGAATACCAGGACAAAGATTTTTTTCTGATTTATGAAATCAAACATAACAAATGTTAAGAAAAAGAGATGGTAGTTTGTTTTTTATATATGATAGCTTTGATTCTGATGTCATCAACACGTTTGTTTAAAGTTGTTCCAGACCTGAGTACACCAGGTTTTGGAGGACCTGAGGAGAACAGGTGTTGGAGGTTAATTACGCTGCAAACTTATGTTGGTGTTGAGAGCTGCACTGGGCTAAACTCGGGGACTCTCTGTCCAACGTGTCTCCAAACTGACTCCAGGTCACTTCTTTATACAACGATCGGTTTATTTGGTTTCAAATTTCCATGTTTGAAACATTAAACAGACTGAGACACAGACCGACCAGGTCCAAACAACTGATGCTTGGCATAACTCATACGGCTCTTACAAGGGTTTTGGAGGACCTGAGGAGACCAGTTGTTGGAGGTTTTGGAGGAC